CTTTGCAGAATGTATGACATGATGTCCCTCCGAAATTCTTTGGAACTCACCCGTATCCTCCACCTGTCGAGGATATCCTTTGATCTAGATATACATGTGTGGAGGGAGTTTGACCTAGATATGTTTGAAACGTGAAACGTCACAGTTTGGAAGGGACATACAAGACTGAACATGTCCACAACAGACGATGTTGTAAGGTCTCCCCTTTCATGCTATTGTTAGACTGAACACATCCCGAATTAAACATAGAGCTATAATATGTAGACGTCGACTATCAAAATGTAGAGGTAAAGGTTGTTATTGTAAGAAAAGACATGTTCACAGTAACCCAACTCAGTCAAGCTTTTGAAATGATGTTATCAGCAAGAAACAATTTTCACACTCCGCTAAACTAAATGCTTTAAATTCTGAGCCCGATGTATCGCACTAGTGACATTTCAAGGGTTATAACCTTAAGGCCTAAACATAACCATACATACAGAGAAAAGTTTGTCCCAGCAGCTTATTAGGTTAGAACGTTAGGCTAAAAATTTAGGATTCAATTCCCTAAGTAGCCATTTGATTTATCAAATATAATCAACTTTACAATGAATCACACGAGAAAGTATTTAAATGATGTTATCACCAGGATACTCTACTACAAAGTATATTTCAAGCCAACCATGGAACAGAAATGTGTGAGAAAAACTTTCGCTATACCTGCTCCAATGAACATGAGAATAAAAATGGACACATATTGAAAGTTTCAAAAGTAACAAATTTAATAATCAACAAAGTTAAAGTTTACACATAATTCTACAAAGATTCACATAATAGGTATCAATGTTTTCTAGTTTGACATATAATTACAGCACAATTTAACACCATCGCACAACCCGAGTATTTCTTTATGACAGTTTAGATATTGGCACAGTGAAAACAAATGGAATATTTATGTATAAAAACTTTGGCATATTTGTTTCAGTTTGTATATGATTACAACACCATCACACAATCAGAGTATTTCTTTATAACAGTTTGGATATTGACACAGTAAAAACAAATGGAATATTTATGTATAAACACTTTAAGATATTTGTTTTAGTTTGTATATGATTACAACAACAAAAGTCTTTTCAAGTGAAATTTTTAACCGGTATGATTTAAATTAAAGTGTTTTGTTAAAGAAATTGACACAAAAGTACCTTGACAAAGATTTTATAACATATTTTTATTCAAAAGTATACCTTTTTAAATATAAAACCTCTAACAGATGTGAAAAAGTCTAAAATTCACAGCATTTGTAGAACCATTTTAATCAGAAAACGTTATGTAAACAGGTTGTTTTAGTATTTATGAAGATTTACACCAACGGAAGTCTTTTCAAGTTAAATTTTTAACAGGCATGAGTTAAAAAGTATTTTGTTAACGAAATTGAAACAAAAGTATGATGACAGACATTTTATAGCACATGTTTATTCAAAAGAATAACTTTTTTAATATAAAACCTCTGACAGATGTGAAAAAGTTTAAAATTCTCAGCATTTGTAGAACCATTTTAATAAGAAAACGTTATGTAAACAGGTTGTTTCAGTATTTATGAAGATTTACACAAACGGAAGTCTTTTCAAGTTAAATTCTTAACAGAAATAAGTTAAATTAAAGTGTTTTGTTAAAGAAATTGACACAAAAGTATGATGACAGACATTTTATAACACATTTTTATTCAAATTTATACCTTTTTGAATATAAAACCTCTGACAGATGTGAGTTAGTTTAAAATTCACAGCATTTATAAAACAAATTCAATCAGGAAACGTTATGTAAACAGGTTTTTACATAGTATGTGAGTTTGTTTTAGTATTTATGACGATTTACACCAACGGAAGTCT